ACGGTCCTATGTGTATACAAACCCTCGAAGACAGCTGTAAATGTTTGATTAATATTGTCAAACGGTTTATTAACAAGGGAAAAACGTACGGTCCTATGTGTATACAAACCCTCGAAGACAGCTGTAAATGTTTGATTAATATTGTCAAACGGTTTATTAACAAGGGGAAAACGTACGGTCCTATGTGTATATAAACCCTCGAAGACAGCTGTAAATGTTTGTGATTAATATTTGTTGTTGTTTATAATATTTTATTTTCTAAGTACATTCAGAATTGAATTATTTTTAGAGGAACGTTAGTTTAATATTCTTGGTCCATGGAAAATTATCAATTAATTTGGGCAATTTTGATGTGAAAACATCATTACTCTATTGTCTGTGCCCACCAGTGTCACAGCAGTAAGTGTATGGACTTAATGCTAGAAACTGGGTTTCAATACCTATTGTGTGCACAGCACAGATAGCCCATTGTGTAGGTTTTTGTTGAGAGGACTTTTTTTTTCTTTTAAGAACTCCACCCTTATAAGTTTTTCTTTTGTTTGGGAAACCATTATTTATTTATAATATTCTTTGCGTGCATTTAATTATCTTAAATTAATGTTCAGACAAATGGTGACTTGTTATTGAAACATATTTTTAATTTCTTTATTACAGGTAGAGTCATTATTGTAAACTAATGTAAGAACTGGACATAATATCATTGCTCAGAAGTGAAGGTATTATATTAAACTAACCTAATGTACTATGTAAGCTTATATTTGTTTGTTTACAGATTGATGAATCTACTGGCCGCGTGACAGGTAATTTCAAACCGTATGCAATCTCGGGAAAAATCAGAAGAATGGTACGTACCGATTTCCGTTGTTTATTAATTATAATGCACAAGCAAAAGTGACGGGAAAAGTTTAAATCTATCAATTTAAATTATTTCATGAACTTTAATAAGTTTAATTATGTTGCATTCTTTGTTTCATTCAAAGCTACTTATACCACCCTCCATGAAAAGTAATTGTTAAGTATTTCAGTCATGCTAAGAGCCGCCCAACAATAAGTACAGTAAACCCGCAGTTTTATTCTTTAAGTTATGTCACATTTTGAAATGTGAATGATAGTGTGATTAATTCGTAACAATTTAGTGTACGATATCCTGCTTGTGACATAAAATTTGGCATCAACATTATTCATGCCTGTTCTCCTCTTAAGCTTTTCCTGCGTGCTCAGCTTTTCAAACGATAGACAGATGGACACTCAGACAGACACCACGTTTTAACACATATGTATGTAAAATGAGGAAGTAGGAATGTTTTCATTACATGTTTATGTTTCAATATAAGTTTCACTGACTTTTGCAGACTGAACTTGCTATCTTGTAAATAATGAAAAAATAACTTATTTTAAAAGTTTCCAAAGACTGGTGCAAATATGTAAGTTATATGTTATTAAGGGCTTTATATCGGGTTTAAAAAGTTGATAGGGTTACTTCGTGAATATTTTTTTTATTGAATAAATTGTTTATTTTACAAGCTTTTGGATTCAATGCTGATATCTTAGATGTGTGGACTTCTGCTGTGTACAATGTTTCACATCAAAGTGTATAGAATATAAAGTGTTTGTTTTGGGTTTTTTCTCCCAATGTAGCCAAGGTTTCAGTTGTAGGATCCTTGTGATATCACAGTAAGGAGATATCATTAAAATTGTAAGGGAAAAATCTAGACTTCTTATTACTCTAGTCTGCTTAATTTGGGCAATAATGTCAAGTGACAAGGTTCTAAAAGTATTGTTTACCAGTCAATAGTCAAGGTTTGTAATTTGCACTATTTATTATTGCTTTCTCAATTCTCATAACTTTATGCAACTCTTAAGTAATAAAATCATAACATTATTGGAATTACAAGGTTCCTAGTCTCTCTAGATAGTTGTTTAAAATCTGTGGTGTGGAAATGGAACTGTTGAAATAATTCTTGTAATAAAATCTGTTGTGTGGAAATGGAACTGTTGATATAATTCTTGTAATAAAATCTGTGGTGTGGAAATGGAACTGTTGAAATAATTCTTGTAAGATATAAACTGGTAATAATTTAATGTGCTTTACAAACTGTTCATTACATTGTGGTGATGACACGAACCTGTCATTGTTCATTACATTGTGGTGATGACACGAACCTGTCATTGTTCATTACATTGTGGTGATGACACGAACCTGTCATTGTTCATTACATTGTCGTGATGACCACGAACCTGTCATTGTTCATTACATTGTCGTGATGACACGAACCTGTCATTGTTCATTACATTGTCGTGATGACACGAACCTGTCATTGTTCATTACATTGTGGTGATTACACGAACCTGTCATTGTTC